TGCGTTGTGGCCGAAACGTCGTGAGAATTATTTTATTATGTTTTATTTTTATTATTTCCCTTCTACGTGACTTTACGGAAACAATATTTTAGCAAATAACACCTTGTTACAACTTTAATTATACAATGAATATCCTCAAGAATTTCGATGTAAACTGTATAATTGCAGGTAATTAAATTATTCATAATAAAAAAAATAATCTTATATGCACTCATATCGTGAACTAAACACCAAATTCCTGTACAACAAGTGTAATAATCAAAATTAATAATTATTGGAGGGACACAACTTGAAAATATCCTACTTAGGGCTATTATAGAGATCAGATCGTGATCCAAATGGTAACATGTACAGGTGACGTCTTTCATTTTGGAGTGCGTTTGAACAATATTTGGACCCTTAATTCTCAGCGTTCCATTTTTCCCTGAGTTCAAATGTCAATCCGTAGATACTGCTCGCCATGACCTATGGATCAGAAATATAAAGTGCCAAAAAAGATTGACTTTTACCCGATCATAAAAAGTCACCGTGAATGAAACATGAATATTGGTTAAATACTTTTGTTTGTAAAAGGGCTGTCGAGCCCCCCCCCCCCCCCCCTTTGATTTCTCTTCCCCCCACCCCTGTCCATTCCCCAGAGGCGTATCCGAGTTATGGAAGTAGACACCAAGGATCCAGGGATATAGAGTGTATTGAAACACATGGCATAGACACGTTCAAAATATAAAAGTTGGTAACAATCATTGTACTTCGCATTGTGTTTCTGCTGGTGTCAATTCCCATACATGCCCTCTGTGTGTACCTTAATTGTTTGGTCGATAAAATATTTTTGGTTAAAAAGGCTTTCGACAGTATGCACGGGGAATGTATTCTCAACACCTACGGTTTACCAGACAAGATAACAGACGTCATGAAGAGCTTTTTGCGATGGCAGTCAATCTCCAGTGCAATATGAAAGATACAAAAGTGAAATGGTTCCACATTGTTTGACAAAGATATGCTTAATTAATTAAAGTGCGGAGTGCAGTAACTTCATAGGCGTAATGTAGGTACAACAGCGATGATGTTCAAGGCCTTCAGTTGATTGAGTCAGATAAGTGAGCTGGGTCAATTTGTCAAACACTCCACCGGGAAGAGCCGATAGCCGATTGCTCTCCAGATGTAGCTGCTGCAGATTCACCAGGCTGTCAAACAGCCCAGCAGGGAGAGACGTGAGTTCCTCAATGCGCAAGGACCTTAGACACTCGCTCTACGCTGTTTTACGAAGACTCTAGCAGAGTGAATGTAAATACGACTCCACGGAGCACTAGCTACACGTGACTCACACATCAAGCTTGTTAAACGCATTAGGAAATTAATCATTCAAAGCTCTTTGTCTATCCACTGCTGGATGAATTGATGACATGTCACCAGGCTGGTTGTAACCACTGAGAGTCGATGCATTGTCTAACTTTAATTGAATAGACTAAGAGACATATTAAATTAAATAAACAGCTAGGACTTGACAATACGTCCACAAAAAACTCTACACAGTCGTCAATAGCGCTGTCTTAAAGGGAAACAAATATATTATAGGTGAAGTTGTGGTTACATTGAACATGATTTCCCTTAAACCACCCAAGTAAGAGGCAGCGTACCCACCACTCTCTCACATTTACAATAAAAACAACGACTTTCTAGAAATGGTCGTAATTAAATAACCGTGTAAAACACATTACCATTCGTCATCGCGAGAAGGCAGAGGAAAGGGGACTGAGAGAGAGGAAACTGAGAGCTCCGCGCAGCCGAGCCTGGCACAAGCACCCCATCGGTTGTAGAGGTGTTTTACCAATCTTCAACTCTGTTGAAGTGGTGATGATCATCACTCGCTTTTGATGTTCTCCGTTGCTGATGATCAAACCCAGGTCACCATGTTCATAGCGCAGTGCGCTAAACACTCGTACCACAACTCCTCACTTTCTATCTCACATTAGCAACAAAAAAACGTCTACATATGTTCATAATGAAACGACTGTGTTAGGCTACTTCATCATTCATCATCACGAGGAAGCTGCTGAGCGAGGCGAGGAGGCTGAGAGCTCCGCGCAGCTCACAGTCCCAGGGGTTGTTCAACAGCCAGATGTGAGTGAGGCTCTTGAGGTTGTCAAAGGCGCCCTTGGGAATGCTCTTCAGCTGCCCCGCGTTGATCCGCGATTGCTTTGCACTGCGTTCTAACACGTTCCTTCGGAGTGGGCGACTAAGTGGGCAGGTAGGAACTTGGTTGGACAGCGCATTCGTGCACGACAGAAAGCTCGCGGTCACGTGACGCACTTTAACCGATCCGGGAGCGTACTACACGTTTGGGAGGGGCTATGCACGACAGACAAATAATCCCTGGTGGGCAGTGTGGAACCTGTTGTTCCTACCTGTATTAACACTGCAATGCAAGTCACTGAGCAGAGAGTGAAATCAAACAGGTGAGGAGTATACACGATGGGCATTGGTGCGGCTTGAGATTTATCAAATCAGTGATGGTCGATAGTAGTGATGATGCAGATAATGATTGTTACGTAATCTTTCTCGTTTAATACACATTCTCTCACCCTCTCACACATGCATTGCCTTCCTAGTGCCAATACTTAAACACCATATCAGGTGCAGTGCTCAGTTAAGGCTGAGTCGACCGAGGGGACGCCCATGTCGGGTTCAGATAGTCGAGGATACTAGACACGTCCCAGAATACAACTTGAATGTACTATATCCCGGCATAGGAATGTAGAAATTCTCACAGCTGTACGCAGGGGTGTTTGGGAGTATAGCGCATCTGCTCGACCTGAGTTGGTGTGATAACCAGTTAAATACTATACCCCATGGCGGATTCGATCTCCTGGTTCGACTAAAGGAACTAAAGTTGTATACCGACCAGTTGACGGCTCTGCCCACTGGTGTCCATCTCAAACTGAACCAAATAACGCGAGTGGAGCTGCACAATCACAGCTGGAGACCGTTCCACAGGTCCAGGTTTTACCCACAAGCACTGCAGTCCATGTGCACGATGCATGGTCATAGGGGGCTCTCACGTCATTGTTTAGCCAAGGTGAAGTGGTGACTTTACACACTTGGGTCAGGTTGTGAATCATTGATCCATTCGTCAGTGAACCTTCATCTAAGCCCGTGAGTGTTCTCACACACAAACTCTTTAATAATCGCACTCTTAGTGCAGGAGTCTCAGGAACTTGCCATAAGCTCAGCAGTTCAGTTCCGGCCCGTGCCATCGGCTCCCCGTGTTCTCTCCAGTGCGGCCAACTGCCGCACGTGAAACATCGCCAAACGAATCACTAAGAATGGCGAAGTGTGGAAACATATTCAGTCTGATGTCATTGTGAAGTCACTAGAGTTAAGAAGACTTAAACGTAGCAAACCGATACCCCACCTATGTGGGGAAATGCAAGCATATATGCTTGCATTTCCCCACATAGGTGGGGTATAGTGATGCACGTGTAGATTTTAATGTTTTTAGATGTGTAATAAAGCAGTCAAAATGCAAACAAATGGTATGCCCTGTCCTTGAAATTGATTGGTCCACACCCGAGATGGCTTTTCTTAGAGCCTAGTCTCCACTGGTGTTGGACCAGATGACACCAAAAGGCGCACAACTCAAAAACAGCGCACAGCACGTCAGTTTTGGTGCCAGATAAAAGGGTAAAAATCTTTTACTATATCTTGCTACTGGCAAAGGAGGTTTCAATGTAAATTATTACCATGAGCTCTCAATACTATGATAGTGCGCTGTTTTTGAGTTGTACGCCTTTTGGCGTCATCTGGTCCAACACCAGTGGAGACTACGCTCTAAGAAAAGCCGTCTCGGGTGCGAACTAATCAATTTCAAGGACAGTGCATATCATTATCAGAGTTGTCTCTTTTTGTTTGCATTTTGACTGCTTGTGTTGTAGTTATTGCAAACATGATCCCTTGTATAAAGGTGTCAGTTTTGGTGCCAGATAAAAGGGTTAAAACCTATTTCTATATCTTGCTACTGGCAAAGGAGGTCTCATAATGTGTAATAAAGCACTTCCACGACGACGGTAGACTTGTGTCTTTTATTAACGATTACTGCACAGCTCCGCTCTCTCTCTTCCCGGATGGTTCCATTCTCTCTCCTCTTGCCATGAAGCACTCGATCCCTCGTCCACCGTTGCAGCGTGTCTCTGTCTCTCTTCTCGCGCTCGCTGCTGGTTGGCGGCGCGCAGGGAGGAGAGAGGGCTCCGCTGGCCGAGGTCGCCACGTGGCCGGTGGCGAGACAAGGTAGGCGATGATGCAGTCCGGATTCAGGCTTCCCACACCGACCCCGAGTCCTCTTACTGCCTCTCCTTGTATTGCTTTCGGCGGAGCTAGGCTCCGCCTCTAGGCACGCCCCTTCGTAGAACCTTCTCGATGCTTCTCGTACATATCCACGAGCTCCGCCGATTACCTTTGGCCCAGATTTAACCCTTCCCTCTGATTGGATATGAATAACCCAGCAGTGACTATGCAGCCCTGTGTCGTCCCTTAGGTGGCGCTCTCTCATTACAGATGTAATACTTCGTCATCCATACTAAATGTAATGTTAAGGACGAAACTGATTTGCTTTGTTACCCTGAGTATCAACTCACTAAAAGTCATTGCTGTTCAGCAATTTCTCGCGACATGTAATGAACGTTTATGTTCCATCGTTTGATTCCATTTGTACCAAGTTGATATTTGCTTTGGAACCAGCGTTGGCTCTACCCGTTGGGATGCTTCAGAATTGCCAATTAATCCTTAATATCATGACCTGGCATTGATATTACAATTTGAATAAACAATTTATATTATGCATTGTCTTAATTTATTCATAACGGCTCGCATATATAGGTAAGAAAACAAATGCTCGCAGAATATGACACTAACTGTCTGGCTGTAGTGACCTATAATCCAAGCATATGCTGGTGAATTTTCACATCTTGTATTTGTCTGGGAATCGGCTGATAGTTGTTCCCGAGGTGGTGTTTGACCACCTGGTCAAACTGCAGGAGCTGTATTTGAATACAAACCAACTGTCGGCTCTACCCACCGGAGTGTTTGACAAACTGACTCAGCTAACTATTCTGAGTTTGCGTGAAAACAAACTGACGGCTCTGCCCGCCGGAGTGTTTGACAAACTGACCCAGCTCACTGAACTGAGTCTGCGGGACAACCAGCTGAAGAGCATTCCCAGAGGAAGTTTTCTGGGCGGGTGCCTCTCTAGATCTGGATGCACAATGCCAATCTGAAACCTGTTCTTCTCGACTGCGTGACGCATGGATGTGTCGAGGCTGTGTGTGGGAGTAACCACCTTGCACAGACCACGGCCACGTGCAGTGAAGTCGTTAACGATCGGCTACTGCACGAAACTTTCAGTCATCAGCAGGTGCGCCCCGCTCTGATACTTTGTCGATTCCAGTTCAGGTGACTGGTTGGTGGTTGGTTATTATTGGTTGCAGTTCTTCTTCAATTACATAGTTTGCCGTACAGCTTCGTTAAATATTTACTCAGATCAATTGCTCGAGTTGGCCATTGTGTGCCGACGACGGTGCCGAAACATTGCAAGAAGAGTAATGGCGAACCTAGAACCCTGGGTACCAATGTCAGTGTAACGACCACCAAATTTGGAATCACAACAGAGCTACTAACCGCTGCCTAGATTAGTAAAGTTTAATTCAAGAATTTAGATGATTCTGGAATGTTGAACGATTCCTTAAGGAGTATTATATTTTAAATATAATTATTATTAATCATCATCAACATCGCGAACGTAACCTTCTCTTCCCAGTACTGAACGAGTGAGGGCATTTGGTGTTGCCAATCGAGGCGACGTTTCCCGAGTTCGGCCCGAGCCACTCACCGACTGAGACGCAGGCTGTGTGAACAGGCGCAGTCCCATGGGTTGTTGTACAGATAGATTCAAATTTCAAGTTTTATTTATTAGGTATAGCCCTGTGAGCCATTCGGCTCTTGAATCGGGTGCAACCGCAACAAACAAAAAAACAAAAACATGAACAAGAAACATCTTAAAGTGACTATGTGCAAGCAGAAAATCCAAGAAAAGACAGCAAAATATTGCAGAAAAAGCACCGTACACCAACACTGTGTGCAAAAATCCCAGTGGGATGCAAGTCAAACAACAACAACCACAAGACAACTTAGTATAAGGCCATCAGTCTAACTCTGTGCTACAACAAACAAACATGACTAAACCGAAACACTTTTCAAAAATCACCAAAATAAAGCCATAAAAGCAATGAAACAGTGATCATAGGAACTGTGACCGAATTTTCACAATAAACGACGAAAACAACATGTATTACCAAACTCTGCAGCCATAGCTGGCTGCATGAATCACTCCACAACAGCAGGAGCATCAGTCGGAGTTTCAACATTTTTCAATGCACCTTTAAGATCAGCACACTAAATCAAAACACAGATCATACTTTGCAGCAATCATCCGGAGCGAAACATTTTATTTTAGGCCACTAAATTGCAGTGGCAGATGGCTGAGGTTGACTTGCGCCAATCACAGAGGCCGCGCGACAGCGACTGATGATGAGCCCTATGTATGCGTCACAGGCACATATATCACACATATATTATTTCATATTTTATTCTTGCGTTTGAAACTTCCATTTAAAACACGACACCGTTCATCACTCGCGCACCGTAACAGTCCGAGTGTATGATGCTTCGGATCTTCCATGTCGTGTTAACAATGAATATACATTGTCACCGTTACTCCAGAGAGGTCTATACATATCATGTGTCTACGATGGTTGATTTAATTAGATACTTTATAATGGATATGATATGCTAACGTTTCGTGCAATTGCCCTACTTCAGACCAGAAAGAGAGGGCAGTTTTTCTGATGTGTGGTTGAAGCCCGCGTCCGACAATGAGGTGTCTTGAAACCCGTCGAGAATCTGGAGTTGCCGCATGAACCCAGTCTCCCATTGGGTAGCAAACACACTCCCCCGAACAGTGTGGACAGAGAAACATTTGATGCCCGATAGGGACTAAATACATTTACAAAAATATTGAGTGATACACACTCATCTGAGTCTGAAAATCCCAGGGACACGTTTTACAGACACAGCTGCCTCTACTCGCATCAGCAGTTTAAGCATGTTCTGCTCCACCAACGTTTTTAGGTTAGAGCGGCCGTATGCAGGGTTAGCGGTCGCCAGAATGGGGCAGCGCGCATTGACACTCATCATGATGCTGGCCTGGATAACGGAGGCGCAGCGGAGAGACAGAGAGAAGATTTAGGAAAAACGGTGTATATGCGTGGATTGTTTCGCTTTCCAACATGTGTTTGTCTTCCGTGTCTGTAAATACCCTTTGTTCCTCTATATCACAGCTCCCCCATACCCCACAAGTTGAAGAACCTTCGTCTGAGCTAAAGATCAACATCGACATTTGATCATAGCGATTGCCAGCCAAACGCAATGGTCGATTCGACTCGCGTCCCCACCGCTACCGTTCAGCCTCTGCCACCGGCGCAGAACACTGGCTGGTCAAAGCGCGGCAGGAGAGCGCCCCCGGTCGCCTTGACGACATGACCTCGTGGATGGAGGTGCGATCCCTGTCGGCCATCTTGTCGTCCTGCGCCTGTTCACTTGGCCTGTGTCTCAGCCGGTGGCTCGAGCCGAACTCAAGCTAAGTGCTCAGCGCTGGTGGTGCTCAAAGCCGCGGGTGTGTTGTCAATCTCTTCATGAAGATGTCAAAGAATAAGGTGCAGCCCTGGAAATGCCTGGCTCACGTCACTGATAAATGAAGGGCCTCCACTGGAGGGAGCTCTAGAGAGCTCCTCTGCAGGCTACGTGGCCTCCTGCTTTTCACTGACCAGAAGTTCTGGAAGTGGTTTATACACTCATGATTTACTCCACGTCACGCGACCTGCCGATCAACGGACTGTGCCATACGATTGATAATGCCGGTTGACATGGACGAAAGGATTTAAGAAACTAACCAATTATTTCGACTGCCATGCCGGAAGATCATGCCAGCCCAGTGTGCTAACTATTTCACCAAAGCAAACACATTCTATGGACTCATGGTCATAAAAGAAATTACCATAATATACACTTAAGCATCAACAGCTACACACTCTTCATTATCACCCGTCGTAATCAGCACTGCGCTCTTATTCATCCACTGCTCTCATTCTGCACTCGTCCAATGTATGTGTAGTGGCGGTACGCGCTGACAAGGAGGGGGCGTGTGTGTGTACGCGCGCCGGGCGTGGCTACATCGAGTGTGGTGTTGACGCGCGCCGACAGTGATGGATCACGGGGCGGCGCGGGGTGCGTGGTTGTGCGCACTGACACGATGTGGGAAATAGGATCGTGGGCAGCGCGCAGTGATTGGTCAACTGGGGTGGGTGCTCTCAGCGACGTCCGCATGGAGGACTATAAAGGGGGACGCGCGGGAGCACTCGAGGAGTTGATAACCAGCTGAAGATCGAAGACGGAGTTGAAGAGATAGGGCCCTGAGACCCCTAGTCCCGCTGTCCTTGTAAGGGCCGGGACCCTGTGCGGCTCAGAGGCGAGGCTGTGGGACCCGTGGCCTGACGTCCATGTGGGACGAGGCTGTGGGACCCAGGGTCGAGACTGTTAACCCAACCGGGTGGGTTCCGAGAAGCTACGGGGCGTAAGAGCCCGTGTGGGTGTAGCCAGGGGAACCTCGTGGGTTAGGCAGCAGTTAGCCACCCGTGTAATATAAGTTGGTGTTAATAAAGAGTGTGCTACCCGTCAGAGTCGTCTCCCGCCAAGTTACTACTTTACATATGCCCCAAGGACTCTGAGCTACTTTCGAAACCGGTCTCGTAGAAGCGAATGCTGAGTGGTGGTGCATTCAGACGACATCGTGAGTGCACGCCAGCTCCAATCAAGAACACCTGCTGGACTACATAGTGACGGCACAGTGCAGACCCATGTCCTGGACACCATGACCAAGCGTGGAACTGATCTGTCACCTATCAGGTTGCCATCAATAAGATGCGACTAAACCGCAGCAATTTGGCTCAGTGGAGAGAAAATATGGTTGTGTGCTTCGCCAAATTTAATTTGTCTAAATTCAAGCTCGAAGAAGTAAAATATCGATTTCACTGTCATGCACCATACATTAATCTCATAAGCACAGCGAGTGGGACTATGCTGTTCTGTAGTGTGTGTGGAGCAGAGGGAACTTGTATGGATCTAAGAGCTATTTCTGTGGTATCCGTTGGGTTGCACTGCACTGCGAGAGTTCCAAATGGGTTATTTGTCTCATAACGCGACACTGATTACAACCATCGCGATGACATTTAGGGAAATTACTAAAAATGATAAAAGCAGCGCCGGGGCTGACAACAGAGTGGTGCATCTGATGCATCACACTCCGGTCTATGTTTAAGAATAACAATAGTAATGCTTAGCATGCATATGGCACTCGCTTAAATGCCTCGGCATCTCGAAGTGCTTCACCCCTCATCTCATCTCAAACATTCAAAAGGCACCCCCAGTTGCAGGTGTCCCTTTGCGGCACACGTGGCCTGCAAGCGGGCATTAGTCTACCATGCAGTAGTGAGTGATGTTGCTCTGTGTAATCCCAAATGAGTCATTTGCGGGAGATATTTAGAACATGTCAAATTAGGACGATGACCCTGGCACACAATCGCCTACTCATTGTGAATGACACCACCCGACACTGTCGAGTAGGCGGTGTGCAGTGTTTGGGTTACTACTCTTAGGGACGACGGTTTTAAATATTTTGGAGTGGATTCCAGAATCGGTTTGTGTTTTAGGATTCGATGTCAATGATACCTATTTCGACTCCGATTCTAAACCTTCCAACCCATCCCCCATAAAAAAAACTATTGTTGCCTTTTTCATGGTACCTCCTTTTCCAGTGTCAAAATATAAGAATAGGTTTTCCCCTTTTTTGGCAACAAATCAGGTGTCAAAATGTTAAAACACCAAACTGAAACCTTTTGCAAGGAATCATGTCTGAATTAACCAAAAAACATACCCTGACAGTATATGCATTGTCTTTGAAACTGATTTGTCCACACCAGAGACATCTTTCTTTAGAGCCTAGTCTCAAACAGTGTTAGACCAGAGGACGCCAAAAGGCGAACAGCACAAAGACAACGCACTATCAGGACAATGAGAGCTCGGGGTGAGCAGCTACATCATGGGACCTCATTTGCCAGTGTCAAAATATAAGAAAAGTTTTCCCCTTTTTTCTGGCAACAAAGCAGGTGTTAAGTTTGGTCATAAACATCCCCATGTCGACACGGCAGTGGGAAGGCTGTCATCCAGTAGTAGATTGGGAATGGCTGATGTATTTTCACTGTGTGTAGACTTTGTCGTGCGGATGTCAGAGCAGACGAGACATAAATGTAGCAGTAGCGACAGTACGTACCGCCACCATTTGTTGTTATTCAAAGGAAATACGTTGCAGTGCGAGTCAAAGTGATGTCCTGCTCATCTCATGTGTAAAGCCCTGAGCGAGTGATGGAAATTCCCCGTTTCTATAACGGGGGCGAATCTCTACAAAGTTTAATGACGACTTCACACACTTTTCTTGAGATGGTTTCTTTATTGAAGACATGTTCACTTGAACAGGCGGAGACCCCCCTGCAACAGCCCCGAGTCTCCTGCGCATCTCCCTTATATACAGACCGAGGCCACGCCCCCCTTCTCGAACCTTCCCACAGACTCTGGACACTCGCTCCACCAGCAGACTCTACCGTCCTTTTCCATCACCTGACCACGCTCCCCTTCTCGATCTTTCCCATACTCACACCTGACACCTCTGTCATTACCTCCCGTGACCACTAGTCCCTTCACACCGCAGGTAGACTCTATTGTCATTACAAAAGAAAACCCACTGTTGACATCCCCCCGAAAAGATTCTCATTTTATCACAGGCAACAGTTGATTCGTTACACGCACGACATGCAAGCGTATATCATGAGTGAATGAATGGATTAATCAGTTCTTGAATTAAGTCATATTTCATCCAATGTTCATAATAATGAAGCACATTAAGCCAAATCCTGCATCTCCATCAATTGTGAAGGCACAATCTCTGTTTATATAAAACATCAGTCGAGTACACATGCAAATGGATATGGGTAACATCAAGCAATTCCCTTTTGCAATAAAGCATCCTTCATTAAACCGCAGCACACAACACAGGGATCAAGTTCTCAATGAAGCGAGGGGATGAGACCTTACTGGGCCAAACACCCCCTCGGGGAGACTCTCTATGCGATTGTTTTGCAAATAAAGGTGCTGGGAGCTGTCAGGCACCCCAGAGGGAACTGAACTCAGTCCTTTGCCTTCACAGTTCGTTAATTGAAGCCCAGAAGCCACGTAGCACGAACACTGCGAGAGATGTGTGGCTGCACGTGCTCCCAGCTCTGAGCGATACCCAGAGATTCCAGTACAGACCTCGCCTCCTCTAATACTCAAATCATAAAGGAACTTTCGATTTAAAGCTTTCGTGACTGCAGGGATTCATCTTCTTGGTTTTTTCGGTAAAGTCACGTAGAAGGGAAGTAATAAAATAATAAAAATAAAACATAATAAAATTATTCTCACGACGTTTCGGCCACAACGCAAGTAGCCGTCCTCAGGTGAAAACCAAGTCTGTCGAGGCGACAGCGTCTGGTTTTCACCTGAGGACGGCTACTTGCGTTGTGGCCGAAACGTCGTGAGAATAATTTTATTATGTTTTATTTTTATTTTTTATTACTTCCCTTCTACGTGACTTTACCGAAAGAACCAAGAACATAAAGGAACTGTGAGGATTTTCATGACGCAATTATTTGCGTGTGATTTGTGATTCTTGGTTATTATTGAAACACTTGCATTGTATTTTTTCAATATATTTACACTGTATGTCGGTATCACAAGGGATTTAATTATTAACATTCAGGTACCACTCAATTTTTAGAATCTTCGGTTTATGTTTATTCTCTTTCTGTACACAGTTAATTTTAGCACTTAATACTTAAATTGTCATGCTGCTTTAATCCAGTAGTTACATGCTCTACAACAAAATAGGAACTGCGTTTTGGGTTTTTTAGGGGGGGAATGGTTGAAAAGTTTGGAATCGGAATCGAAATAAGCATCGTTGCCATCGAATCATCCTAGGGTTACAACCGATTCTGTAATCGACTCCAAAATATTGGAATCATCCCTCCGAGTAGTAACCCTTAAACGCTGCACACCGTCTACTTTACAGTGGACGCTCTGTGCCGGGTGGTGTCATTCAAAACGAGTAGGCCATTGTGTGCCAGGGTCATGAGTTTCTGAGACATTTAAGATGATGCCATATACATGCTAAACACTTATTGTTATTAAAAGACAGGAGATTGCTGGATCAGATTATCCAAATGTTACCGTGATAGTTGTAACATGTGTCACGTCATGTGTTAAATCATCTATTTGGAACCCTTGCTGTTGGAGAATGGTGCACGCAAGTGGATACCACAGAGCTACCGCTGAGATCCATTCAAGTTCCTCTGGTGCACACGCAGTCGAGGGCAGCACTTCCGGACTCGCTCTGCATACGAGAGTAATGTCCGTCGCATGACAGTCAAATCTATATTTTAGTTCTCAGAGCTGGAATTTTGACAAATTCAATTTGGTTAAAGCGCACAACCACCGG